TTTGGCCTCTCTGAACCTTGGCCTTATAATGGGAGCTCTGCTCACAGAGTTATGGGGGTGTTCACCGCCCTCCTCAGGCTCCAGGCAAAAGGCTTCAGAGGCCAGACCCTTTCCACCAGCTAACCCTTGGAGGCTTCCACCGCTGCCCCTGTTTGGCCAGAGACACCAGGCTAGAGAGGTCCCCAGAGCTGCACTGAATGGGGACAGAGGTGGGGCAGGATGCTTTCATCCTACTGGTGTCCCCACTGCCATCACCCAACCATGAGGACTCAGGCTGCCTGCAGGGAGCTGCAGCCGAGTCGGTCAGTGGCTTGTCGGCGGTCACTTAGCCACCACGCCCACTCTCAGCTCCCACTCATTCACACTAACAATGGTCAAAGCCCTTGACTAAGAAGGCCTCCAGGAGTCAAATAGGAAAGGTAGGAACGTTTTAAAGAAATCCACCTCTTCATTTTAATATTTTTTGTTGGCATGCAAAAAAGGCAATAAAACGTAATAAGCATGGTCTTGAAGTCAAACAAACACATGTTCAAATACTGGCCGTGAAGTGTGAAGCAAGCTGTCTTGACTTTGGAGCCTTAGCTTTCTCATCTGTAGAATGGGGATAATATCAGACACCCATCATAGGGCATTGTGAGACGTAAACAAGGTGATGCGGCTGGGGTGCTCAGCAGGGAGCGTGGCACGTGGTGGGGGCACAGTGACCCTGTGATGTGCTATTATTACTTTTTATGCCAACAGGCTTCTCATTGGGTTTTGAATGAGTATATAAGAATGATGTGAGATTAGCACACCTATCCTGAGGCCCGAGGGGTACTCGAAAAGTCTCCCATAGCAATGTGGTGTGTAAGAATCATTTGCTAAGCATTATTTTCTCATGTATCATGAACAGGCAAACTTTAACCTTTCCCTGTGAATGTTATGAACAACTTCCGTCGAGTGGCTTTGTGAAAAAACCTGGGAACGCTCTCTGGAAATAAAGGGCATAGCATGTCTTATGAAGCATGTCTTCTGGCATTTCTTGAGTCTGCACCTCTACCTGACTCCAGTAGAATTTGCACCTTGGCTGGCCCCGGGTCCCAATCTCATATCATTTGGGGGAGCAGCACCCCTTACACTCTCCATCTATGGGGTTCTGCAAACCCCTGGTCCTGATTCTCATGGGAACTTCTGACCCCAGCCTGGTCAGAGTGATAGCCAGGACTCAGCTGGAATGTCAGCCTGGCACTGCTTGGACCCCTCGACTCGCCACAGGACGCCACCTGAGAACAAAGCCAACAAACACAGGAAGGCAGAGGCAGGAGACAGCAAGGGTCCTATTGACCTGGGGGGGCATCTAGATCCAGCCGTGCCTAAAGACTTACCATCACGTGAGCTAATAACGTCCCATGTCTGTTTAAACTAATTTGACTTGACTTTTCTGTCACTGTAACTGACAGGATCCTGACCAATACAGTGACATAAGAACCCCTTCGTACTAAACAGTTTAGGAGACTGCTGTCCATGGTAAACAAAGCTACTATCGCCTTCCTTGAAAGTGCAGAAACAAACTCTGGGGGCCGGGCAAGTAGATGAGCAAATGCACGTCCCAGGCCAGGGGCAGGAAGACAGGCCTGAAAGGTTCTGTGGCTCTTGGGAGAGGCATGTCTTACCTAAGTATCAAACCTAGGCTAAGACCACCACTGCCTGCTACGTCCTTCTCCACGCATCCTCCACACGTCTTCCAGGAAAGCTAGTTCCACATGTTCTGCCGAGAGGGGTTTCCCTGGTCCCACCTGTGTAGGAAGTGCTGGACTCACGGAGTTCCAGAGCCTTCTTGTCTACTGAACTCAGAGATCCCCATGGGCCCCTTGAATCTACCAATGGTCCGCTGAACCCTATGTGCTCAGAGCAACTTGAGGTGCAATCTGCAGGGCTCCCTTGCAGAAATGGGGCTGTAGAACCTTGCTTCTCAGAGCGCTGTCTAAGGCCCAGGAGCATCAGCCTGGGAGCGTATTAGAAGTGTGAAGCTCGGGCCCCGCCCCAGAGGCGCTGGATCAGAACCTGCATTTAACAAGCTCCCAGAGGGTCTGCACACACAGCTGCTCAGTTAGTCGCTACCTATGAGTGGAGAGCAGCAGCTGCACAGGAAGGGGCTCCATGTAGTGGGGTGGTGCAGGGCCTGGGCTGCTGGGAGGATGCAGTACACATGTCTGTGGAAGGCCTACTGAGGGGAAGGAACTGCCCAGGACGTACGGCTCCTGTTATCACATCTCAGTGTCCTCCACCCAGCCAGACATGGGAACACCGTGGCAGAAGAGGCTACACAGAACCAGGCCAGAATGATGTCATCACAGGCTGTGTGGCTTTAGGCAAGTCACTCAACCTCCCAGAGCCTCAGCTGCCCATCTGTAAACCAGGCATGGGGATCCCACCCCTGCAGGGTCGCAGTAAGGACCAGAGGTATGGTGAGTGAAGCTCTTAGCACACAGGCCTATCACTGATGCACTGAGGGACTTTAAGAGTTAAGAAAGTAATTGGTATAAAATCAGAACAGACACACATAACAGAAAGGGAAGGAGGAGGGAAGGAGGGAGGGAGGAAAAGAGAAGAATCAGCAGTGATGCTGTTCCACTGTCTTCAGACCATTTTTCACTGATAGCACTCAAGGTGTTTCAGGGAGGCCCCAGCCCCTCTTCCAACTCCAGTCTTCTTACCAGCCCTGCTGGTGTGTGTTCAGTATATGCGACATCTCACCATGGTGTCTCAACCAGGCTGATGCATACCTGGTACCTCGGCATATGCTCTGCCCTCTGCCAGAATTGCCAACCTGCGCAGGTGCCCACTGGCAGTGCATACATAGCCCCCAAGTTCATACTTTCTTTTTTTTTTTTAAGATTTTTATTGGGGAATTGGGGGAAGGGGAACAGACAAGTTACTGTCTTTTTGTTCTTCAGTCTAGTTGTGGAGGACATTGCTTCACTGGCCCAAGTTGGCACCATCATTGCACTCTTCCCGGGCGAGGCACATCAGTCGCCGGCTTCTGGACATCGGCTCACAGCGGTTGCTGGCTGCTGGCCGCTCACGCTGGCTGCTGGCTACACACAGTAGCCCATGGCAACCCACTGCAGCAGGGGCTGCAGCCTACACCATCACTGGTGACTCACAGCAGCCCAGCTCCAGGTTGAGCTGTTGTTCAGCATCTTAGCTGTAGAGGGCAGTGTCACTGGCCCTCATATGTGGGATCCGAACCAGGGCCCTCTGGCGTTGCAAGCCAGTTCTTAACCAACGCGCCACTCGGCCGGCCCCCCCAGGTGCATACTTTCAAGACCCAAGCCAGAGTGCCCCTCAGCCCATCAGCTGCCCTGAGCATGTGCGCCTGGGGGAGCAGCAGACCAGCCACATCACTTACTAGTACAGTGGACAAACACACTAGAGATGCTGGTTGAACATGATTCACTGAATGAAAAGAAGAATGAATGATATGGTGACAAAGTCTCCCTGAAATGCTCTCCATCAGAAGTTAACTAGTACACAGGAGCTGGCCCACCAACAGAATGCGCCCATGTCACCTCTTCCCAGCCCAGTTCACCCCACCCCACAATCCCCAGCACCCATTTTCTTTAATCTAGGAAATTCACCTCCAAAGTAAAATGAGACACAACCATGAGGCCTGGGACATCCTCAGAGACAACAGGGCATGAAGGGCTGTACCACATAAACCCAGCTCCTCCAAGGACATCGACAGTTGTTTTCAAGATGCCCAGGTTCTAACTAAATCCATCCAAAGGCAATGATTTTCCGAAGCAACAAGTGATACTTCCTGTGTCTCCATAAAAAGAACGCCAGCGGTTGTGGGGCTCAGGAGTAATTGCTGGCTCTGCAGCCAGCAGGAGGAGCCTGAGGACAGGGGCTGGGGCAGCAGGGCTGGGAGAGCGCCACCCCCTCTGAGCAGGAGTCCTCTGAGCAGCAATTAGAGCGGAACCCACGGTGGGCGGCTTAGATGTCTGGCCAGCACAGCCGGCCTGACCACCGCACACCCAATCCAAAATAGAAAACTGCAGTGGCTTCTGCCGCGTGCCAGGCCCCAGGACAGCCAGACAGAGCACCGCCAATGTCAGCCTCTTCCCTGAGCACGGATCCAGGCTTCCTCCAAGGCCCCTAATGGCAAGCCATGGTCCCTCTGGGCCCCTAGAAGTAGAACTTCTACACTGGGTGGCCCAGGCAGTCCCAGGAGGGGACAGCCCACCCAGCCTCTCTTCTGTCCTCCTGGGCCTGCCCATGGGCACCAGACCTTACATTTCCAAATGCTCCCTTTGGCTCAAAAATAGAGAGAGAAAACCGACTTTTCAAATAACCAGCTGAAGTTCAACAGGAAACCACAACATAAAAATCAGTGGCTCCTGGTTAGCCAGGAGGCAGAGAAATAACTGGGCATTTCATCGCCATGGTCTGCCCCCTGGGCAGGCATCACCCATACACACAGAAAAAATAAGACTGACTGCCAGCACACATGCTCCCCCCACACACACATACCACACATACTAAAATGTTCAGGATCACACACTCAACAGACACTGACACAAATGAGCAGAAACCTACAGATACACACGTGCACAAGACTCACAATGTCACATTCACGCGTTCACAGGTGCACAGGTACCCACACGCGAGTACACAGCGATATTCCAAAACACATGTGCACACACTCACAAAGATATACACATACCCTGGATGCAAGACAAGACCTGTGCCTGCAGGCCTAAAGGAGACACACAGGGGCTGGCTACTTGATCAGCACCTCAGAGCCCCTGCCCCTTCCCCCTGCATAAATTACCCCCTCTCCAGCCAATCAAAATAACTTGCCTTCCAGCCAACCCCTTCAGTCGATGCCCTGTGGTCTTATAGCAGAGAATGTCGTCAGTGCAGGCCTTGCCCTCCCAGGGGACTCCCAGGTAACCGGCTTCAGAAGCCCAGGCAAGGGTCATGGACAGAAAGGAGTGGGAGATGTTCGTACTCACCAGCCCGTCGCAGTTGCTTAGCGCCACGGAGGAGGCTTCAGTCAGGCCTGCCACGTCTCCGACGTAGAGGCAGGTCCCAAGTAAGGGCTCCACGCGGGTGGCGCCGGACTCGCCCTGCCACTCTACCGTGGCCCCTGGCGCCACTAGGCGGGCGTTGGGCCGCAGCCGCAGGTGCAAGTCTCGGCCGAAGATCGTGACATTGTAGAAAAGGCTGCCGCCAGGGTCCTCCTCGCTGTCCCCAGGGAAGCCTGGGAACTGGACTGGGGCGGCCCTGCGGACCCGAACCCCCTTCTGGGCTGTAGCCGCCGACACCACGTGGGACACCAAGCGTCCCTGGGCGTCAGTGCGCACCGGCACCGCCAGGATGCGCTCCGCTCCATGCCCCAAGGGCTCGCCTGCAACGGGAAGGGGCGTTAGAGCCGCTGAGACCTCAGAGCCCACAGCCCCTCTCCGCTGAGTCCCGCATCCCTCAGCCCCGCCCCCACTGCAAAGGGCATTCCACTCCGGCCTTCTCCCTACAGGGAAGGGGCGTTAACACAGCCAACACTCTGGAGCCCCGGCCGGTCCCGCTCTGGGACCCTGCAAGCCGAGTGCTCTGCCCCTTGCCCCGTTCCGGGTTGGGGCTCCGCGGGCTCCTCACAGTTCCTCAGGGGACAGGCGCGACAGAGCGTCCCCCGCCCGGTGAACCTACTGTCCTTGGCAGGACGTGGGGCGGCTCTGAAGTCATTCCTGGTTGGCCCCCTACCCGTGCGCCTCTACCCTTCAGTGGCCCCTGGGGCGGCGAGAACTGGGCTCCCCCCAGCACGGGCGGCCTGTCTTCCGTAACCAGCTCCTGCTGAGCCCGCTGCCGGTCCCCCGTCCCTGGAGGGGTGGAGCAGGGTCCCTCAGATCTTCGGGGATCCCCTCCGGGCCGCCCCAACCAATCTTCAGGGCCCCAGGCGGTGTGCTCGGCACCCGGTTCCTCCCGAGCGCCCCCGAACGCCAGCCCCGGCGCCGCCTCGCCCTGGTTCCCCCGGACCCGCTGGGGCTGGCGCTGCGCGCTCCGCCACAGGGCTTACCCGGCCCTCAGCCTTCACGCTAGGCGTCCCGGGAGGCACGAGGGCTCCGAGGTTCCCCCGGGTCAGAGACGCCCAGGTGCGTCGCGGGGCGCCCCCTGCGCTACCAACCCGGCCCCGAAGTTGGCCAACTTGGCCCCGGGCGGGGCTCGCGGAGTTTGCCCAAGTCAGGCTGGACGCCGCCTGCGGAGGGGCGGTGGGGAGCGCGGGGCGGGGCCCAGATGACTGGGGTCGCTGGCGTGGGGTCCAGCCGCACCTACCTGGGGGGGCGGCGGCGAGCCGGGCGTCCGCGGGCGACGGCAGCAGCAGGAGCGGCGGCAGCAGCAGCAGCAGCAGCGCGGGGCAGAGCAGGCGGCGATCGGCGCCAGCCGGCGGATCCATGGCAGCCGGACTGCAGCCGGGGCCCCGCACTCGCAGCCGGCGCGAAAGTTCCCCGCGCGCCGCCCAGCCCACATCTGGGGGCAGCTGGAGCCTCCCGCAGCTGCAGCACCGCAGGGCGCGGGGCGGAGGAGGCGAGGCGCGGAGGGGAGGCGGGGAGCGCCGAGGGGAGGCGGGGAGAGGGAAGGAGAGAGAGAGCCAGCGAGGCGGGCGGGAGGGAGAGGCGAGCGCGGGGAGGGCGGGGACGGCGGGCGCCTCAGCCTGCGGTGACCCGGCGCTTCTCGGCGCGGCCGCCGCCGCTGTTCCAGGCTCGCTGCGAAGCAGAGACACCCCGAGGCTGAGGCAGAGAAGCGCCGAGGGCCAGGCCGGGGGAGTCCAAGCATCCCCACCCAGAGAGTCCTCCTGGGGCGCTCTGGTCCCACCAGTCAGCCCTGTGACACAAGGGGCCTCCTCACACTCTCTCTAAGCCCTGAGGCAGGACAGGGCGCGGGGATGGGCGGAGCGGCTGAGATGGAGACCCCAGAGGTCAGAGTCGCTTTTTATAGGCAGTGCTGGCACTGCAGGGGCTACTCCAAAGATCAACTTTTCCCTTCCAGAGAGAGGCAAGGCTCCCCTCAGTCCCCATGTTCTCTCTGCCTGAAGTCTGTCTGCCTCAGTTGCAGCCTGGGAGCACAGCCTCTACCACCCACACCTGACCATGTGGCCTACAGCATAGGCAGTTTGCAGCTATCACCTGGCCTGGATCCCACGTGGGCATCCAGCGTCCTGGACTTTGCTCTCCCCCAGGCCCTGCCTGAAATAGCCTTTCTTCTCTACCCATCTTTTCCAACTCGGCATCCCAGACATAGCTCTCCATCCTGGAGCAGGTGTGATGTCAGAGCTCATCCCCAGCTGGAATCCCTCTTCTTCATCAAGGTCCTGAGCCTGGAGTCGCTGTCCTGCCAGGCCTGCTGCCCCAACATAGCAACCTTCCTCTCCAGGTCCTGCCTGGGAACCCCCTCCCAGGCATGTGTCTGTTGGAACATCTCTGCTACGTGTCCCAGATTCTGCCCCACTTCCCCGGCGGATGGACACCTGTCCCTTTGGATCTTTTAATTCATGCTGCCCCAGGCCTGTGTGCCCAAGGCTTGTTGGTCAGGCAGGGCCAGATGACTCAGGCCCCTTGCTGCCAACCAGGAGGGCCTGGTCTTACGGGAAAACACGTGACTTGCACAACCCACTGTAGTGGTGATTTCGTCTCCTTGGTTCTGTCATTTTCAGGACCCGGGTGTGAAAGCACTGCAGCTTGATGGCCATCTTCACCTTGTCCATGTCACCTGAGGGTGCTGAGACAGGACCCAGCCCCCAGGCATGGTGAACATTTGTTGTGAACAATAAAAATGGTGAAATTTCACATAAGAATTGAGATTTCTGACTTTTCTTGAGAAATTGGAATGTGTGGCCACACTGGGCCCACGGTTCTGCTGTGAACCCTTAAATGCCCTGTAGCTGGCTGTAGGTCCCCTTCCCCCAGCCCCAGCAGGTGTCTCTTCTGTGAACTCTGATGACACAGCTGGTTCCAGAGAAAGGGGGATGGTGATCAGTGCATGGGAAGAGAGATGACTCCACAGCTAGCCACCCTGGGGGACTTCCTGTAAGAAGCAGCCGGTGTTGAATCCTGAAAGCAGAGGAAGTCAGGCAGCCCAGAGTTGGGTCTGGCAAAGTGCTGTCTTGGAACCCATGACATGCTTCCACTCATTCCTCTTGTGGTTCTGGTGCTTTTTCCTCCTCAAAAGATGATTGACAACCCAACTAGCAGCCTCACTGACTTGGAGGGTCACATTCCACTACCTCACTCCTCTATCAGGCTTATGGTTGTTACCTCAGTCCTCCCCCCACCACCGTCATTATTTCTTTATGCACTGCTTCACCCTATACTTAAGTTTTTAAAGGATACTTTAAATCACTACCATAAATCAAAAGCCAACATCTCCATAAATCAAAGGTAACCGCCAAAAATAAATAAAATGGAAACAAAACATTTTTTTTATGAAGTTCAGATACTACTGCCTGCAAAAGGCACTGAGGCTGACGCTGCTTAACAAGTGTTGGTACAGTGGTGAGACAGCCTCGCAGAAGCAGGGCCCTTTCCTTCCAGGCAATGAGAAGGATGAAAGGAGATCCAAGAAGAAATGACTCTTGCTCTGCGGGTCATGACATTTTCTGAGGGGTCCACGTAACTAAATTATCTGCACACTTTGGAATACCAGCTCTTAGATATTCTTTGGAAAGAGGGTTTGTCTCCCTGACACTCCTGAGTCACCCCTGACAGCTGTTCCTGCCCATGTCACCCCTGACTCCTGGGACTCCACCCAAGTAAAGACCCTCCCCACCGTGAGTGGGAGGCAGACCGCCACCCTTGACCAGCCCACCCTGTTGTCCACACAAGGACACCCCCAAGGCCAAGTGGATGAGACAGGCTCACATGCATTGAAATTTACAGTCGAACCCTCCCCATAGGTGCCCTTGTGGACGTCTTCCAGCTTCCTGATCACGTATCTTCAGCTCAAGAAAAAAAGAGACACCTCCTACTTCTTCAAACATCCATGGCTCAGATCGCTCCTCTCCCTCTTCCAGAAAATGCTGCCTCCCCCCACTGCTGCCTGCCTCTCCCTCTGGCCCTTGTCCTCCTTCAGGTGAAGAGTGGGCACAGAAATTCCCAGTAGTTCTTTGTTCAAGTCCAGTTACTCATTCTCGACCTCAAAGACACAAACCAAGGAACACAGGGCCAACTCCACTCCAACACTTGGTTGAGTGTGTGTCATGTCTGTCTGCTTTTAGTTGAACTTGAATGTCTTTCGGTCTGTCACTCTCCTGCCTGACACAGTCCCCACCACTCTCTATTGTCCTACACATGCCTATTGCTCAGTATTGTTACCAGCCTGGTCCCTGAATAACTGGAGTTGCAGCCGGGATCTGGAATAGCCACTGTTGTGGGTAGCGATGAGGACAATTCAGCATGAGCTTGGGCCCTCCAACCCGCTTAAAAGCTCCCTAAGGATGTGAGGTGCAGAAAGAGATGAGGACCTTTACTGGTCATCTTGGGTGTCACAAATCACTGAGCATGCCTCAGAGCAGGGATGTTAAGAAAGGAGAATGTCTTCTGCACCCACCCCAGCTCTTGGGGGAGCAGTGCCTTGTCTTATTCTGAAGGGAGGAGCAGAGCTCTCCGCTCCACCTCTGGCTTCCAAGCCACACACACCAACACAGACCTCGTCAGAGCCATCCCTTGTGGCCACACAGAGCCCAGAAGTTCTGCCCTTTGACGAGGTCAGCATTCTTGGCAGGCCCAGAGGGAGGCAGTGAGGTTTCACTGTCCTCCCTCCAGATAAGTAAGCTCTCAGAAGTTGGGGGGCCTGGGGAGGCACCTAAAGTTTTCCAGCCCCCTGGGGACCTGGACCAGAGCATAACAAGCAGTAAGGCCTTAGTGACCTTGTCAAGGCACCTCTGAAGACAGCAGTTCTGTCCCCTCCACTGTTGGCAAACAACAGGCACAGTAACCCCATCAGATGCACTGACAGAGTCCTGGCCAGGAGCGGCCGTGGTAAGCAGTATGTCAGGGGAATGCTGACTGAACAGAACATGGCAGCGGGTGGCCTTTGGGAGTGTGGATCTTGCTGTTTCTTGAGCATCCCTACACACACACACACACACACACACACACACACACACACACACACACACCGGACAGGGAGCTGTGTCAGGCAAAACAGGAAAAAATGTGGGTGGTGTCCAGGCAGCAGTGTTTTCATTGCCATGTTCCACACAGAGTTGTCCCACCACCATTGGGATCAGTTCTGCCCGGAAGTGTAAGACAAAATACTTGAAGTTTGGAGGCTTGGGGATCCAGGTTCAGTCAACACTCCTACATGGAGGCACAAGCTACAGGCTCAGGCTCAGTATAAACAGTAGTGACCTGGGGGAGGATGAAAGGTCAGTACCCATTTGGGGCTGTCCTCTTGTATGTGTGCTCGACCTAGCAGAGAGGCAGCGAGGCCCACAGATTTTCAAGGGAATGTCTGGGAGTGGCAGGGAGAGACATCCTGGGCCTACTTGTATTCAGATATAGACCCCCTAGGTCCGTTTGTGCCTGGCCTCTCATAGAGGTCAGGGCTATTTGGTCCATTTCTCCCATCTGAGAAAGGTCTCTGGGTCCCTTAAGACACCCCTGGCTGCAAGTAACACAGCCAGTTTAAACCATAAGAAAATGCATGATCTCACCTACCAGGTCTGCATGTATGACAGATCCAGAGCTCAATCTGGCACTTCCACTGACCAGGTGGAAGGGTGGCCAAACCACACACAGGTATCCTGCCCTCTCCCAGAAGGGCCGGCTGATTCCCCTCTGGTCTGTGGGCCAAGGCGGGGACACATGCCCATTGCTGAACCAGCTGCCAACAAGGGGCAGGGAGTGTTACCGGGACAAGCCTAGATTAACAATCTGGGACAGAATGCATGTTAGGGGTCAGCCCCAGGGCCCCCAGCACCTCACTTGACTGTATTTCCAAATGAGAGCATGGCCCAGTCCCAGGTTACCCGCCCCTGCTTCTTCACGAGAGTTTGTTTCCCTTCCACGCCAGATGACATCATCTATAGAGCATGAAGAAGTAATTTCTTTACTTATAAACCCTGCACGTAACATGTGAAGGGCACAATTGTATTACATTGTAGGGTTGTGTGTTCAAATCCTTTGTAAGCCTGGCTGGGTATTTCCTTGCTTCCACTGCAAAGACGTGAATCGGTGGTCCTGGGTGATGCCTTGCTAGACCCCAGCATCCCTGGCCTCCAGTGCTTTATCCTCTGTAGGTGACCCACCCTTCATGTCAAGTTACTTCCATTCAGTCCAGCCGGCCTTGCCCAGTTCACAGCATCTGGAGTGGGCATTACAATGGCTAGAGCTTCCTGCTGGGGCTGGCAGTGACACCAACCATGGGACCCTAAGGCTATGATGCAGTGGGAGGAAGCTCTAAGTGAAAAGGTGAAAGGCTTTGGCCATCACCGTAGCCACCAGGGACTCCCTGGGAACCCCACTGCTCCTCCACGGGATGCCAAGGGGTCTCTGCCCCATCTCAGGTCCTATCACTAGTAGGGAGGGCCTTC